TAGCCAGGATGGTCTCGATCTCCTGACCTCGTGATCCGCCCGTCTCGGCCTCCCAAAGTGCTGGGATTACAGGCGTGAGCCACCGCGCCCGGCCTCAAGGCAGCGTTCTAAGCACTTTACAACTATTACATCATTTAGTCCCTGCAACAATGAGGTAGGTACTGTAATTCCCATTTGAAATGAGGAAACTGGAGGCACAGAGTCCAACAGTAAATAGCAAAGCAGGAATGTGAATCCAGGCACCAAAGAGCAAGTTAAGGAAAGGGGTTCTACAAGGAACCAAAACCATACAACTGTAGTACACACTTTCTGATGTTATGACTTGATTCAAGAAATAAAATTTAGAATATTTCCAGGAATGAACTATGTATTTTCCAGCTAGTTCTCAAAAAATGTTTTCAAAATTGAAGTTTCTGATAACAGCAAAATGACATGCGGTTCAAGGTCATATTCCCTATTCTGTGAAACCTGCCTTAGCTACCAAGATAACTTATTTTAAGATGACAGAGCCTGAATGAAGAGGCCAGACGTCACAAAGGAAAATAAATAAAAAACCCCTCCACTTCCTTGGATACCTAGTTGATTGCTCTGCTTTAGTTCTTAACAGAACCACAGCTGGTCCAAGGACAAGACAAGACACTACATATGCGTTACGGGCTTCTGAGAAATAGGTGAGTCCAAAAGGGGGACCACAGAGAGTACTGCTCATCCAACTAGAAGCCACCTTTACCAGCAAAATGACACCTGAGAAATGCCATGCCACTGTGCCACTGATGAGGCTGACTTAATCATCTGTGTACTCCTGAAATGAGCTCAATGGAGAGCTAAGAATCAAAACTATTGCCAGAATACAAGGTAAATGGCGCCCACTAGAGTTGTGTAACAGGGCGCTCTGGTGCCAGACCTGCTTACTGTCTGTTTTACCACTTTATCTTTTGTGGAGGACATTTCTCCAATCCATCCCAACATCCAAGCAGGCACATATCAACATTCTTATCACCCAAAGAAGCCCCCTGATGTTACACAGAAAACTCATGTCTACACAGAGAGTGCCAGTTTTCATGATTATGCCAATATATTTAAAGAAAGCACTTTGGGAGGCCAAAGTAGGAGGATCACTTGAGCCCAGGAATTCAAGAACAGTCTGGGCAAAATAGGGAGACCTTGTATCTACAAAAAATCAAACGTCTCTACAAAAAATTTAAAAAGCAGCTGGGCATGGTGGCTTACGCCTGTAATCCCAGCTACTTGGGAGGCTGAGGCAGGAGGATAGCTTGAGCCCAGGAGGTCGAGGCTGCAGTGAGCCATTATCACGCATTGCACTCCCGTCTGGCCAACAGAGTGAGATCCTGTCTCAAAAAAAAAGCAGAAAAAAAGAAAAAGAGAATAAAAAGAAAAAACAAAAGGGAAGGAAAGATATAACTGGTAGAAAGAAAAATACTGGCAGGTTGAAAATCTGGGTTCTCATATCAACTTTACTATTGCACCAAGTCTCAACTGTTCTGTTAATAAGAAGGGACATTTACTGCTGGGCGAGGTGGCTCATGCCTGTAATCCTAGCACTTTGGGAGGCCAAGGCGGGTGGATTGCCTGAGCTTAGGAGTTCAAGACCAGCCTGGGCAACACGGTGAAATCCTGTCTCTACTAAAATACAAAAAATTAGCCGGGCGTGGTGGCGTGCGCCTGTAATCCCAGCTACTCAGGAGGCTGAGACAGGAAAATCGCCTGAACCTGGGAGGAGGAGGGGTTGCAGTGAGCAGAGATCACACCATTGCACTGCAGCCTGGGCGACAGAGCGAGACTCAGTCTCAAAAAAAAAAAAAAAAAAAAAAAAAATGGCCGAGCGTGGTGGCTCATGCCTGTAATCCCAGCACCCCAGCACTTTGGGAGGTTGAGGTAGGCAGATCACGAGGTCAGGAGATCAAGACCATCCTGGCTAACACTGTGAAACCCCGTCTCTACTAAAAATATAAAAAATTAGCCAGGTGAGGTGGTGGGCGCCTGTAGTCCCAGCTACTCGGGAGGCTGAGGCAGAAGAATGGCGTGAACCTGGGAGGCAGAGTTTGCAGTGAGCCGAGATTGCGCCACTGCACTCCAGCCTGGGTGACAGAGCGAGACTCCGTCTCAAAAAAAAAAAGAAGGGAGGTTTACTATAAGTTGGAGGATAATTTTCTCTTCAGAGACACAAGAACTGCATATTCCTTCTCCAATCTCAAAAGAAATCTCAGAAACCTTCAGGAGATACAGAAGAGAGACATTATCAAGTATTAATAACAGTCATGAAACACAGCAGGACTTGAACTCTCAGACCAGAGCTTTGTCTGTCTGACCACATCCTTCCATAATGCTACCAACCAGCCAGGGATAAAGATGACACGGCTTCCAGCAGGTGTTTTTGGCAGATACGGAGAAGACCACCATCTCTTTCCCAGAACCCACTAATTGTTTTTTACTGTTGTTTTTTCAAATAAAGCATGACTTCCTTTTCCCAAGAAAATAGCATTCCCTTAACACAACCAACTCTTAGAAAATCATGAAATACATTCATCAACTTCAGTAGCTAGAGAATGGCCTTGGGAATCAAGATATGTGAATTCATTTTTTTTTTTTTTTGAGACGGAGTTTCACTTTGTTGCCCAGGCTGGAGTGCGCAGTGGCACAATCTCAGCTCACTGCAACCTCCACCTCCTAGGTTCAAGCAATTCTCCTGCCTCAGTCTCCCGTGTAGCTGGGATTACAGGCGCTTGCCAACACACCTGGCTAATTTTTGTATTTCTAGTAGAGATGGGATTTTGCCATGTTGGCCAGGCTGGTCTCGAACTCCTGACCTCAGGTGATTCAGTCTCCTCAGCCTCCCAAAGTGCTGGGATTACAGACATAAGCCACTGTGACCGGCCAAGACTTGTGAATTCTAATTCTAGGTCCTATATCAGTGGATGACTCTTAACTATTTAAGTGGAAGAATTAACCATTTCACGAGGTTTCTATTAGGATGGAGAATGGAAGAGGATGAGGCCTTTATAAGTAAGTTTGTAAGGCATATGGTGATGGGATAAAGGCAGCACAAAAAAGAAAGAATTAAATACCCCAAGTGCTTCTGAAAGGAAGAGTTACAGAAATACTTTCACAAGATGAGGACTATTAGCGCCAATTAGTGACAATTATATGAGGACTACATAATTACAAAGGATCTACCCAAAAGTAACAAATCTATAGCCTCCAGTTTAGTAATCATCTACAAGTAACATCAACAAGAAAAAGATGGAAAAAAAAGAACTTGAATTCAACTACAGAAAGAACTTAGACACTATTGAGAAACCATTCCAAAACCATACAACTGCAAAAAGTTACCTTAGTTCAAGACTTGAAATGAAGAAACACAGAGAAAGTTTTTTTTTTTTCTTTTTTCCTCAATAAGGAAACAAAATCTCTTTCTCTCAGGTTCTAAAGACATTCAAGAAGGGCCACCCCAGCAGGATGTGTGAGGCTTTCCTGCTACTATCCATACACTCTTCCAAGTACAAGTAACTCAGAACAAATGCACCCCAATGTTACTGGGAAACACCATCACACCATGCACAGACTAAACAGGACTGCTGCCACCACACAGCTGGCAACCTGGGCCAACAGCTTCTACCCTAGGCACCACTGGACCACTATACCCTGCATTCCGTGGGAGGAACAGCACTGTGGTTCTCCTTGCCCTGTCTGTTCCACTATAAATGATGGATCTGGGGAATGTGAGGTCACAATAAATAAGACTGGAGAAGAAGAGATATGTACCCAATATTTAATCAACAACTTGGCTCAGAAACCCACAGGGCATTTTATCAATCAACCTGGAACTGGTTTTTAAAAGACACCTCTGGGATCATAAGCTCCGAACTCAAACTCTTTAGGTTGACTCACTGCCATTTTCAGGCCACCCAAAACTCTTCCAGACCTACTTCTGGAGTCTACTCCATACAGTTTTATCCACTTCACTCCAAACTACCCATGAAGCAGTTTTTTTGTTTTCTTGTTTTGTTTTTTTTTTCCCTGAAAATTTCATCTTGCCACACCAAACTCAAATAATCCTGTGTCACAGATTCTAATCACTCCACAGACCCACTTCTAACACTCCACTGGAGTACTGGTGATAGGAGCTCCATTCTAAACTCTGCCCTGCTTGTTCCAGATACAGGAAAGCAATTCCATAAGGACTATATTGGCACTTAGGGTCTTTGTGTCCCAAAGCAGAATAAAAATCTCTCCTTTGGACACAAGGGAACACTATTCAGTGGCTTCACCTGAGCATTTCACATTTCATTCCTGATGAGCATTAGAGGGAATGGAAAGTGATATGGTACAGTACCAACTTTTTACACAAAAACTTCCTGGGGACCCTCAAAAGATAATAGAAGCTGATTTTTCTCCCACAACAAACCTCAACATTACAATTGCTATTACTTTAAGTATTCCATCACATTGTGAAACACACACACACACCCCATTTGGTTGTGACCCCTTCTCCCCCAAAACCAGAAAAGCCATTAACCCAAAAATTATCTTACCCTCTCTCTCTCTTCCTCCTGCCGTCTTATTCCTTCTCCTTTCCAGGGCTCCTGAACTTTCTGTAAACAAATTGCCTAGGTTACAGGGGCCAGGCAGGGTGCAGCCAACACAGAACTGTGGAGAACCTCAGGAATTATTTGTCAGCAGTCAGTCTGGAAGGCAGGCAGACCCCCCAACCAGCAATCCAAAGATGGGTGGATATAATAACAGGAGTGTAGTGCAACCCTCTATGTGGATACGAGAGAAATAAATCCAATTCCCAGAAACTAAGACGAACTCTTATCACCAGCGTGTGGATTCCACTCCTAGGCTCAGAGACTGGTCCTCGTTCGTTCCCAGGCCACAGGTAACCAGGGGTCAGAGAACAGAAGAGATGGAGGAGGAGGAGGGTCTCTGCCCCAGAGGAGTGGCTTCAGAAGGCAAAGCTGAGGGCTGGGGGATGCACAAGCCCTTGTGTCAGGCACAGTGCCAGTTCAGGCCCAGTCACTTCCTCTAGCCTTCCCCCCACTTCTTCGAGGACTTCGCCCCCTGCCTACCCAAGGCCTTGTGCCAAGAAGTACCTCCCACAGCCTGCACCGTGGTCTATCTACTGGAGACCCCAGCTGTCCCCCAAAAACCTTCGCTCCCCTGAGACAGTTCCTGGGAGCCTTCTCCTGATGTCGTCCCCTACCCCTTTCTCAAAGACCCTTCCTTGGGACGTCCCTCCTTCCCCTCCAGGGAGCTGAACTCTGCCACCCACCAGACAGGCACCCGCCCCCTAAACCCCCCCATTCCTCCCCATCGCCCGCTCCTCCACAACCACTTCCGGTTCCGGGACGGACACCACACACACACACACACACACACACACACACA